GGGGGGGGGGGGGGGGGGGGGGGGGGGGGGGGGGGGGGGGGGGGGGGGGGGGGGGGGGGGGGGTGGGGGGGGGGGGGGGGGGGGGGGGGGGGGGGGGGGGGGGGGGGGGGGGGGGGGGGGGGTGGGGGGGGGGGGGGGGGGGGGGGGGGGTGGGGGGGGGGGGGGGGGGGGGGGGGGGGGGGGGGGGGGGGGGGGGGGGGGGGGGGGGGGGGGGGGGGGGGGGGGGGGGGGGGTGGGGGGGGGGGGGGGGGGGGGGGGGGGGGGGGGGGGGGGGGGGGGGGGGGGGGGGGGGGGGGGGGGGGGGGGGTGGGGGGGGGGGGGGGGGGGGGGGGGGGGGGTGGGGGGGGGGGGGGGGGGGGGGGGGGGGGGGGGGGGTGGGGGGGGGGGGGGGGGGGGGGGGGGGGGGGGGGGGGGGGGTGGGGGGGGGGGGGGGGGGGGGGGGGGGGGGGGGGGGGGGGGGGGGGGGGGGGGGGGGGGGGGGGGGGGTGGGGGGGGGGGGGGGGGGGGGGGGGGGGGGGGGGGGGGGGGGTGGGGGGGGGGGGGGGGGGGGGGGGGGGGGGGGGGGGGGGGGGGGGGGGGGGGGGGGGGGGGGGGGGGGGGGGGGGGTGGGGGGGGGGGGGGGGGGGGGGGGGGGGGGGGGGGGGGGGGGGGGGGGGTGGGGGGGGGGGGGGGGGGGGGGGGGGGGGGGGGGGGGGGGGGGGGGGGGGGGTGGGGGGGGGGGGGGGGGGGGGTGGGGGGGGGGGGGGGGGGGGGGGGGGGGGGGGGGGGGGGGGGGGGGGGGGGGGGGGTGGGGGGGGGGGGGGGGGGGGGGGGGGGGGGGGGGGGGGTGGGGGGGGGGGGGGGGGGGGGGGGGGGGGGGGGGGGGGGGGGGGGGGGGGGGGGGGTGGGGGGGGGGGGGGGGGGGGGGGGGGGGGGGGGGGGGGGGGGGGGGGGGGGGGGGGGGGGGGGGGGGGGGGGGGGGGGGGGTGGGGGGGGTGGTCGTCAGACGGGAACAGGCCCTGCGGCTCGGGAAGCCGAGCCCTCTGCAGGAAGGGACGGTGCAGGTGTGCGGGGCCGAGGGAAGGACGGGCCCGACGTGCGTGGGGGGGGTCCCAATGGCCTAAAGGCCCGTCCCCGAGGCGCCGCGCAGCCTGCAGCTGTGGCCAAGGACGTGCCGCTCACCGCGCACAGATGCCAGAGGCCAAACGAGCAAGCTGCCCGTTTGCAGCCCGGGCGAGACAGGAAAAGCCAGGGGCGGGCTTTCTGCGGCCGGAGGACCGAGGCCAGCGAATGGGGAGGGCAGGAAGCCGCGCCCGACGACGTGCCCAGTCTTACCAGTGGGCGGCTTCGGGGCAAGGGTCCTGGAGCCGGTGGTGCCACCCCAGGTGGCCCGGGGGGCTCCTCCTTCAGTCTCCAGCTCTGCTCCCACGACTGGGCGGCCGCGGGGCCCTGGGATCGGGTGCCCTGTCGGGGAGGCCATCCCAGGGCGCCAGGAGGGTGCAGCTCCCCCAAACGGCCCTCAAACCCAGCTGGCGGGGTTATGGTTCTCACGTCGCCCTGAGCCACAGCCCCTGGGTCTCCTGACACCACGTGAGAACCCGCTGACCCTGCCCAGGCCGCGGGGTGATGAGGCCGGGCGCCCGTCCCACGCGCTCTGGGGGGCCCTCCATAGTCAGCAGGTGGGGGACCTGGCTCTGGGCCTGGCAGGCGTCCCCTGGGGGCTTCCTGGAGCTGGACGGGGCCCCCACGTGGCTCTCCATCCCGAGGGAGCCGGGAGGGTGGAGGCCGGGGGTCTGTGCCTCGTGTGCGTGTGTGTGCACACGCGTGTGTGGCCCCCAGCCCTGCCCCACGTGCAGCGTGGGGGGCTCCTCCCTCCCGCCTCCACACCCTCATTCCTTTGTGAATTCAGCCTGGACGTAGTTTCCATGGAGCTCTGTGAAAACTAGAATTCGAATCATCCTTGTGGGCAGTGCTGGGGGCGGGGGGGCGGGGGCGCGCCCGGGCTGATGGCGGGGCTCCTTCCTTCAAGCGTACATTTAAACGCATGGACTTCTGCACGACGCCCCCCTGCTGCCTAGCCAGGGTGGTAGGCCAGGGAGCCCCAGGGGAACGGGCGGGCGGGCTCCTCTGCGTGCACGTGCCCGAGTGCAGATCAAGGTCCGGAGACTTGCAGAGGGGCGTGTCTAGGGCTCTGGCCTCGCAGGACAGCGGCACTGGCCTGTGCCTAGGGTTCACACTGCCTGCCCGCTGCCCCCCATTTTTCTCTCCTTGGCTGGCCTGAAAGTCTACCGTTAGAGTTTCATTCCTTTGGATATTCTGGTAAAATGCCAGTGCACCTACTGGAGCTGGCCAGCGAGCCCTGCACCCTGGGGGTGGAGGCGGGTCCCGAGACTCCCCGGCTGCCGAGGGGCGTTCGACGCCTAGTGCCAAGGTGGGAGCACCCAAAGCCTCACACCTCATCCCTGTGCCGGTCAGAACAGAGCAGCAAGTCAGCTTTGAGGACACCGGTCCTTGCTGAGGGACCCCGCACCCACCGGGCAGGTGGAGGAATGAGCCGTGTGCACACATGGGGCAGGCTGGGGCCTGGCAAGGCGGCACCTCCAGGCGAGCAGTGTTGGGGGGCCAGCTGGCCCCTCTGGCCCTGGGGACTCAAGGGGAGGGACAGGCCCCCGGGGCCCCGCAGGCTGGTGCCGTGCTGCTGGTCCCCAGGCTGGGGTTTCGGAGACGCTGCCAGTCAGAAGGAAGGGCTCAGTGGGGGAGACGGGGCAGCCGTGTGGGGACGGGTCAGCATTCCTCCCGGGCCCCAGGTGTCCCCCAGCCGCTGACCCCTGGCGGGGGGCAGCTGACTTGCTTCCCTCCGTTTTGGGGGCTGCTAGAGCGGCTGGGGAGCCCGGAGTCCGACACTCACAGGACCCACACGCCCGTCACGAGGCCTCCTCTGTGCCCAGCCCATGGATGGGAAGCAGCTCGGTGGGAGGGGGGCAGGGGGCCGGCCCCACAGGTCTCCCCGACTCCAGGCCTCAAAGGGACCCTGTGGCAGGTGGGTCCCCTTTGGCACAAACTCCTTCCTCTCCCGCTGCCTCCTGAAACTCTGGTCCTGTGCCGGGGGGTCCCGGCCCCAGCCCTCCAGCCTGTGGGAGCCCACGTGGTTTCCGTCGAAGGCCCCGTGGACGGCTGTGTGTCGCGTCAGCAGGCGCCCGAGGAATAAATGAACGAGCGAACGACTGGGCGACGCAGGCCCGCTGGCCCCCGACATGAGAGGCCACGCCGCGGGGGGCAATCGTCTCCTTTATTGGGACTCGGGGGGGTTGTTCTTGCCGACCGCGGTAGGTCGTGGCGAGGGCCGGGGCAGGTTTGTGCGAGCGACACAACGGGGGTTAGCATCACGGCCGACAGTCACACAGGACACTGGAGCGACTGTGTGACGTGGCCAGCGGCTGGCTCTAAGGAGCCGGTGGCCCACGGAGGGCGCGGGCTGTGCGTGGACGCGTCTGTGGCCGCGGGAAGTGCGCAGACGGGAACGTGAAGACCGCAAGGGTCACGTGCACTTGGGGCCGCGGCACAGACCCTGTCCCTGCTGTGCCTGCGAGGGCCCGGGCTGCTGGGCGTCCCCATCGTGCGTCCACTCTGCCCCCACCCCAGGGAACCCCGTCTTCCGCCCGTCCTGGGCTGGGTCCTCCGGGAGGGCACATCGGCCGGGCCCAGACGGTGCCCACGCCCACTCGTCAGCCTCGGAGGACAGCGTGGCCGAGGTGCCGAGCGCGGGGGAGGCTCTCAGGGCCTCTCGGGACGAGTCCAGGCCCGCGCTTGACGCCCGCGGCCTGGGCACCAGCCTCTGCTTGCAGGCGCCCACTCGCCGCCTGCCCACCTGTCCTGCTCGCCTGCCCGGAGCCGACGGCGTGTGTGGGGTCTGGGTTGGCCTGGGTCCCGGGGTCCTGGGGGGCTGCTGGCGGCTGCCCGCCCGGCACTGCTCTTGCAGAAGGAGCCGGGGGGTCTCGGAGCGCACAGCTTGGAGCAGAGGACCCAGGTCCAACGCCGCCGGGGTACCGTGCCAGCCAACGGGCCGTTCTTACGGGAGGGGTGGGTCCTGGTGCCCGGGCTGGGAGCAGGCCTCCTCGGCGGGGTCAGGGCTGCCCACCCGCTGCCCGTCTGCTCCCTTCAGGAGCCCAGTGACAACCTGCCGTAACAAAAGCCCATATTTCATTTTCCAGGTCCTTCTGCCCCTCGAGCCTCCCGTGAGGCAGCTCACACGGCCTCGGCCTCCCCCGGCTCAGGGGACCTGCCAGGGCACGGCCAGGGCCAGGCCATCCTGTCTGGAGACCGGCTCCTACAGACCACGGAGGCGCCTGCCCTTCCGGGTGCCCGGGGCTGGGGCCGCTGCGTGCGTCCGTGACGGGCGACCCGGGGCCTCAGCCTGGCAGCCACGGGCGCCTGTGCCCACGGCTCCTCCTCCTCACCTGTGGCTGAGTCCCCACAAATGGGCGAGGAGGACGGGGAGCCGGGTCCAGCCGACGCCTGCCCCCCCGACCCCCGGGGGCCCCTGGGCACCGCCCGTGGAGAGGAGGGGTCTGGGCGCCGAGGCCGTACCAGAGAGGCCAGCGGTCCTCTCCTCGCCAGGGGCGCCAGGGCAGCGGCCGCCCTCCGCCCACAGCCCTGCCTCTCGGGGCGGCTGCCTCCCCACGCCAGCCCGGCCCGGCCTGTGCCTTTCATTTCTGTCCTCCCGGATCACCCTGTAGTGTGGGAACAAAGAAACCTGCCTTCCCCCACCACTAATTTCTTCTCATTAAAGGCCCTTTCTGGATCTGGGGTGAAGCAATCTCTCTCCGGCTTTCAAAGAGGGGCAGAGGGAGGGGTGGGGCGGGCCGAGGGAGAAGCTGCGAGAAATGAGGCCTCTGGGGGTGGGCGCTGGGTCCCCGGCCTCTGCTGAGCCCTGCTCCTGCCCCGGGGGTGGGGGGCTGCAGGGAGGAGGGGGAGGGGGGCGGGGGGCGCCGCCGCTGTCGGGCCTCCCCTCCTCCCTCCCGGCCCTAATAGAGTGTCTCCCGGGTGACGTTGCTGGAGAAGGTGTGGTTGCTGGACACGCTGTTGGTCTTCCTGGCGAAGGCCGGCCTCCCCCCCCTGCGCCCCCACAGAGGACACAGGCAGGCCAGGGTGGACAGGAAGGCCTGGCGGAAATTGGCAGAGACCAGGTTGTACAGGATGGGGTTGATGGCCGAGCTGACGTAGAAGAGCGCGTTGGTCAGCATGTAGAAGTAGTGGTAAAAGTCGTACAGGAACCTGGGGGCGAGGGCAGGTGTCAGACCCGGGCTGGTGGCGCCGCGACCCTCGGAGCTCGGGACAAGGACGTTAAATTCTCTGACGTGGGGCTATTTCAGAACAAATTCCGGGGCTGCGGCATCTCTTGAGATGCTGGGAGTTCCGGCCACGCTCCCGCTGGCGCCGGTCTGGGGGCTGGCTTGTGGCCGTCCTCCCCGCCTGCCTCCACCCCTCCCTGCGGCACACCGGGCCCGCCCATCTGCGTGCAGGAGGCCAGCACGCCGGGGCTGCGGGGTGCGGCCGGACCCCTTCCCTGTCCCCTGGAGGGCTGTGCTCCTGGGCCTGGGCTTGCTTGCCTCCACCCACAGGGATCTCACTCCCTCACCAGGCAGCCCTGAGTTTCAGAAACCCTTTACTCAGCACCATGCTCTGCTACCTGCAACTTCTCGTCTGTCCTGGATCTGCCCTCCCCATGGTTCCCCGTCACTTTGAAGAAGCTGTGACCCTCGGACCAGGCTGCCCTGCTAAACTCACGCACGGCGGGGCCTGGGGCTGTCGTGTCAGAAGGGCGTCCTGGCAAGGCTGGCCTCTCGCACCGGGGTCTGGGAGCTTGGATGTCCAGGGTCGCCACCCCCTGCGAGGAGGGGCTCCCGGGGCCTAGAGCGTCCTACGCAGAGCAGCTGCTTCCTCCCGGGAGTCTGGGGCTGGGGCGCGCGGCAGCCGCGGCATCTACGTGACCGGCCCCAGCAGGAGCCCCGGGCTTCTGGCCAGCTGCCCAGCCGACAGCGTTTCACACGTGGCCTCGGCTCGTTCTGGGCATTTGGCCTGAGGAGGGGGTTCTGGAAGCCGGGCCTGGTCCCCAGGACGCCTCTGCGGGCTTGTTTCCCGTCACTGATTCTGCTGTGTGTCCCTGGGCTGCGGTAGGGCCCCGTGTGGGTGTGGCTGCCCCGGGGCCCCCCGAGTGCTCCGCGGCTCCCCCAGCCTGGGGGTGGTCTAGGGCACCCAGACAGTGGCCATGCCCCCAGGTCCCACAGGGCCAGCCCTTCCTGTCTCTCTCCAGACGGCTCTAAACTCGTCTCATACCCACTCTCAGCTCTGCTCTCCTCTTTTTTTTTTTTTAAGATGTATTTATTTATTCATTTAGAGAGAGCGAAGAGAGAGGCAGAGACACAGGCAGAGGGAGAAGCAGGCTCCATGCAGGGAGCCCGATGCGGGACCCGATCCCGGATCTCCAGGATCACACCCCGGGCTGCAGGCGGCACTAAACCGCTGCGCCACTGGGGCTGCCCTCTGCTCTCCTCTTCTGCTGTGACCTGCCCCGTGGCTGAGCAGCCTCCTGTTGTGTCCGTCCCCCAGCGGCGTCTGTACCCCTGTCCGTCCCCCTGCGGCGTCCATCCCTCCGTGGCCTTCCTCCTGCCCCCAGCCCACTCACAGCCACACCAAGAACATGTGGGGACACCTGACCTGCAGCCCTGCCCTGAGCTGCTCTGTTCCGTGCCCCCACCTCCCATGCCAACCTGTTTTGGGGAGCTTCTCCCAGCCCGAGCCTCACCCCTGTGCCCCAGGCTCCCGGTACTCACGGGGTCCACTGCTTATCGGAAATGTAGCAGAACATGAGGCGCCGCACGTGGTAGGGCAGCCAGCAGACCACGAAGGCGATGACCACAGCCCCTGAGATACAGAGAGATGGGGTCTCGGCGGGTGAAGGGGGGCATCCTGTCTGTGCCCAGAAGACTAACCAGTGTTAAATTGTCAGTGTACCCACCGCAGTCTACAGGCTCCGCGCCACCTCTCTCAAAACCCCGAAATAGAAAAACCCATCTTAAGATCCGTGCAACATCTGGAGGGACCCCTGGAACAACCTTGAGGAAGATGAGCTGGAGGACTCTCGTGTCCTGATTTCAAAACCTACCACAAAGCTGCAGTAGTCAAAATAGTGTGACCTTGGCCTAAAGACAGAGCCCAGAGGTGAACCCTCACAGATATGGGCGGGTGACTTCCTACGAGGCTGCCGAGACCAACGTACCGGGAAAACGGGACAGCCACGTGCAGAAGGAGGAGGCCGGACCCCTACCTCACACCTCATACAGGGTTAGCTCAAAACGGATCGAAGATCTGAATGTAGGAGCAAAGACTACAGAATTCTTATAGGAAAATGACTGGCGCCAACCTGACGACATTGAATCTGGCAGCGACTTCTTGGAGGGCTCAGGCAACAGAGGGAAAGCAGATGCCCTCGACTCCATAAAAACGAGCAAGCTGTGCTTCACAGGTCACGGTCACCAGGGCGAAAAGGTGACTCGCAGAACGGGAGAAAGTGTTTGCTTCACACATCTGACCGGGGATTTAAATCCAGGACCCACAGAGAATGAAGATTCAACAGCAAAAATCAAACAACCCAATTACACATGTAAAAATGCACAAGGAAAAAAAATAAAAATAAATAAAAAATTAAAAAATAAAAATGCACAAGGGACTTGGACACACTCTTCTCCAAAGAAGATACACAAATGTTAATCAGCACATGAAAGAGTGCTCCACGTCACTCATCATGTGATAAATGCAAACCAAAACCCCATTAAGATACCATCTCACAAATAAAATCTTAAAAAAAAAAAAAAAGGGGCAGCCCGGGTGGCTCAGCAGTTTAGCGCCGCCTTCAGCCCAGGGCATGATCCTGGAGACCCCGGATTGAGTCCCGCGTCGGACTCCCTGCATGGAGCCTGCTTCTCCCTCTGCCTGTGTCTCTGCCTCTCTCTCTCTCCCTGTGTCTCTCATGAATAAATAAATAAAATCTCAAAAAAAAAAAAAAAAGATACCATCTCACACCCAGGACAGCTACTATAAAAGACAAAACAAAAATACGATCCACCAACAACACAACACCCTGAGGAAATAGTGCCTCTTGGTGTGGATGTGGAGAAACGAGCACCTCTCCACATGGTTGGTGGGGATGCAAAATGGTATATCCACTTTGGGAAAAAGTACGGCAATTCTTCAAGAAATTAAAAATAGAATTACCATATGACCCAGCAATTCTACTCTGAGTAATTTCCCAAAGCATTGAGAGTAGGGACTCAAACAGGTGTCTGCAGGCCTCTGCTGCAGGGTTCACGATGGCCAAAAGGTGGAGGCAACCCAAGGATCCCCCAACACACCTGATGGATACACACAGGGGAGGCCATCCAGACACTCAGCCTTTTTTTTTAAATTTATTTATTTATTTATGATAGTCACAGAGAGAGAGAGAGAGAGAGAGGTGCAGAGACATAGGCAGAGGGAGAAGCAGGCTCCATGCACCGGGAGCCCGACGTGGGACTCGATCCCGGGTCTCCAGGATTGCGCCCTGGGCCAAAGGCAGGCGCCAAACCGCTGCACCACCCAGGGATCCCAGACACTCAGCCTTAAAAAGAAAGGACAGGGGGATCCCTGGGTGGCTCAGCGGTTTAGCGCCTGCCTTTGGCCCAGGGCGTGATCCTGGAGTCCCGGGATCAAGTCCCACGTCGGGCTCCCTGCATGGAGCCTGCTTCTCCCTCCTCCTGTGTCTCTGCCTCTCTCTCTCTCTCTCTCTCTCTCTCTCTATATATATATATATATATATATATATATATATCTATCATAAATGAATAAATAAATCTTTAAAAAATATATAAAAAAAAAGAAAGGACATTCAGACACCTGCCAGGACGTAGCTGAATCTTAAGGATGTCAGTGCTCAGAGATGTAAGCCAGACACAAAAGGACGATCCCGCTGGGATGAGGCCCTTGGAGTAGCCGAATTCATAGAGACAGAGAGGAGGGGGTGGTTGCTGGGGGCTGCGGGGAGAGCAGGTGGGGACTTCGTGTTTTGTAAGGACAGAGTTTCAGTTTTGCAAGATGACAAAGTTCTGGAACGGATGGTGCGAATGCACGTAATACCCCTAAACGGACACTTGAAAATGGTCAAGGTGGTAAATTGGATGCTGAGTGTACTTCACCGCAATGGAAAAGAAAGCAATAAAAAAGTCAACCGCTCGGGAAAACCTGGGGCTGGCTGGGCTGTCCTGGTGCAGAGAGAAGCCTGGCCCTGAGATGGTGCGTCCTCATCTTGGGGCATGGGGGGGCCTGCAGGAGGGGCTTGGTTTTGGGGCCCTGGCCCCTGGGCAGCTGCCCTGACCCCGCAGGCCCAGGAGATGGGAAGGCTGCCTGCTGGCAGCAGCAGGAAATAGGTTGGTGGCACTGGGACGTTCCAGGAAGAAGCCTGTCCCTGACACAGCAGAAGCAAAGCTGTGACCCGGACCCCTGGACACAGCCTGACCCTGGTCACTGGCTACGGGCGGGGAGCTCTCTTATCAATACTACCACAGTGATTAATGCTGAAATGGCAAGACTTTGGAAATACTACACTGAATAAATTATTTAAATGAATTTTATCTATTTCTTTTTACTTTTGAAAATGTGCTTACTAGACCATTTAACATCACGTGGGGCCTGTGTCATATTCCTACTGACAGTGCTGCTCTGGACGTCTCTCTGCTAAGAAACCGTGGCTGCTGAGGGTCAGGTGGCCTGGGGCAGAGGCCCAGAGGCCTGTCGGCCGAGGGTGAGGGTGACAGCAATCGGGAGGGCTACTGGGAAGCACAAGGTCAGGGAGGGGGTGGGTAGGGCTGCCTTCAGCAGAGTGGGGGGCGGTGTTTTGAGAAAGAGCCCTCCACCAGGATGCCAGCTCTGGGCACAGGCCGGGCCCAGGGTCCCACACACGAAACATCACAAGCCACATGAGCACAAGCTCCACTCTGCGCTCTCCTGCGCTGGGGGCTGGCTGGGTGGGGACCTTTGCAAGGGCTGGTCTTCAGGATCCTCATGAGAATGTGGGTCATCATGCGGTGGGGTTGCACTCAGGCCTCTCCAGCGGGCACCTGACCGCCCGCACACACGGCAACCCACCTCTGCTGCTCGGTGGCTATGTGTGCAAGCTGCCTGACCCAGAGTCCATGCTCAGGAGACTAGTTGAATCAGTGGATGGAAGGATGGATGGATGGATGGATGGATGGATGGATGGATGGGTGGGTGGATGGGTAGATATATGGATGGAGGGAAGGAAGGATAGGTGGGTGGAAGGACGGATGGATGAAAGGATGGGTGGACGGATGGAGAGAAATGGAAGAATGAGTGGGTAGGCGGATGGTGGGTGCAGTAAGAGCCGCAGGCTGCAGGTGAGCCAGCCTTCGGCGTCTCTGCTGGGACTGCTCCATTTCCTGGGCTTAAACTTTACCCTGTTCGCTGGTGTGAGGCTTGCTGCTCTGCTGGCCCCTGGCTGCCACCCACCCTGGGGGCCCAGCGGTTACGTACGTAAGACCCGGACGCCGTGCCGCAGGGCTTGGACCCTGCCAGGCTCGATGGACATGCTGAATGAGCTGTGCTGGTCCCCAACCGTGCACACCTGGCCCTGCTCAGCTGCCTGGCGGACCATGACGGTCAGCTTGTTGGCGATGATGGTGTTCAGGATGGAGATGACCACCATGGGGAACACGAAGGACATGAAGGTATTAATCTGCAGAGAAAGAGAAGGACAGCCGTCAGGCCGGTGTGCAGGGGACAGCGCCCTGCTGCCTGTCGCACCAGGTGGGGCCTGCGGTGTGGAAGGTGCCTGGTCTTCTGGGCAGACGCACACTCCACCTTCCGCCTGCTTCCCGCTCCCGCCTGGCACAGGTGGGGGTTCACAGACTGTCCCTTCAGTGAGCCCCTCTGCGCAGGGTTCACTGTGTAGACGGTGCGGAGCACAGACTCGGGGGCGTCCTGGCCGCGGCGAACGGCCGGGGCTCTACGCGCGCAGGTCTGGACACGACGTGTCACGGATGCAGACCCTGGGCGCCGGGCTGCTCCTGCAGGATGGCCAAGCCCAGCATCCCTCAGGTACGCAGACGGTTCGTGCTTGGACAGAAATGGAAGGCCCTTCGTCCTGCCCCACCCTCGGCTCACTGAGGAGAGTTCCTCCGAGCACCTCTGCCTCCCATGTCTTCCCATCTGGGGAAACCGAGGCTCATACAGGCCGAGAGGGAGGCTGGACTACAGCTGACCTGGCCCGTCTGAGCCCAAGCCAGAGCCTGCAGGACAGCAGGCTGAGACCGGTCCTCGCGCCCCGCGCAGGGGCCCGACCTGACGGACAGCGGGGACCTGGCATCGCCTCCCGGGCCAGCGGACCAGCAGCCTCGAGCGCTGTGAACCGCGCTTGGCTTTTCACTCTTTCTGAACGCTCCTGTTGCCGGGCGGCCCCCTCCTGGCCCTGGCGGTGTGGCCTCGGCGCCTCGCCCTGCTGTCCCTGCTCAGCTGCTCCACGCGTTCACTTTGCACTTCACGTTCACAAAGGCGTTAGTTGTGCGTGGAGAGGCTGTGCTGGCTCTGGCTCTTCCGGAAAGTTCTGGGTGGCCGACACCCAGGGCTCCCCGGGTTCCGGGCGGCCCCTCCTGCCACCTCCTAACCCGGTTTGCCTGCAGCCCTTGAGAACAGAGCCGGAGCAGCCTCTCCAGGGTGAGGACGCTGCAGCTCCGTCCTGCTCCCGCAGCAGTGGCCCGGGACGCCCAGCAGCCCCCGAGGCTGCCCGCAGGTTTGCTCTCCTCTCGGCGGCCCGGCCTCTGTCCAGAACAGGGCAGACTCACTTGCCGCTCTCCTGAGGCCTCCAGGGGTCCCGCCCCCCCTCAGGGCTCCAGGCCCCACCTGGGAGATCCCGAGGCCTTCCAGGAGGCGGGGGCCTGAGGATATGTTCGGTTCCACCTGGACACGGCTCTGCTAAGCTGGGGGGCTAAGAGGCCAGAGAAGGGCCAGCAGGCCCCGGGGAGGGGCCTTTCCCACACTTCCTGGCCCGGCGCCCAGCGCTCACTGCCTGCCTGCACCGGCCCCCGCCAGCCGCCCCCGCCGGGCTCCCTTCTCTCCCGTGTGTGTGCCCGAGCTCAGGGGCAGGTCCTGGGGGGGGGCCCTTCCCACCCCCGTCAGCTTCCCTGCTGGTGGCGTCCACCTTCTGCAGGGAGGGGAGGGGCTGGCACGGGCCAGGGGCCGCCCCAGGAAGGTTTCTGGGGCTCTCGCCGGGCTGGAGGCGGGGCAGGGGTGCAGCGGGACGCTGGGTCTGGGCCCAGGAGACAAACTGGTTCCTTGTGAGTCACCTCAGCCGGGTGTAGTTTAAACAGAACAAACGTATCCAAAACATTTTAAATGTCAAAACATTTAGGATACCACACCTCGCTGGGCGCGGGCGGTAAGAATAGCGGCCTCTGAGGGCCAGGTAGGCAGTGGGCTGGGGCCCTGCGCGCTGGCCTGTGGGGTCTGGCCTGGCCCCCGTGGGAAGAGGTCCCAAGCCCGCAGTGGGGAGAGGCCCCACCCCTGATGCCTTTCCTGCACCCTCCAGCCTGGACCTGGACCGTGGGGGGCACACCTGACCCTTGGGGCTCGCCTTCTCCTGCCGAAGCCCTCAGCATGGCTGTGGGGCTGTGTCCTGCACTCGACCCCCCACTCCCGGGAACAGGGGAGCAGCCCACCCCGACCCCGAGCAAACAGGAACGCGCCTCCTGAGCCTCGCACACAATCTCTGGGAACGCCGCAAGTGCTAGCACGGGACGGCAGGAAGGCCCCGCTGAGGGAAGCCAGCGCCCCCCAGACAGGCAGGTGCACGTGCGGACCCCGAGCCTGGTCTACGCATTTGTCCCAATAAAACAGAAGACTCGGGGACAGACAGGCTGATCCTAAAATTCAGATAGAAACAGATCATCAAAGAACAGCCAGGAAAGTTCTGGAAAGGAAGGACGATGGGTCAGTACCAGACGGGGAGACACCCCCACCTATCAACTACCCGACACTCTCAACAGACGTCGTGAGATCGGCTCGGCACGGAGAAGCGGATGGACAGAGAGACGGTGCAACGGCGCCCAGGGAGGCACGGGCAGCGGCTCCGCAAGACGGAGAGGGTGGGTGACCCGCGGGGCCCACGACCTCCGCCACCTCCCGGGACCCCCCGCTGCCTCCCTGAAAGTGCCCACCCCCTACCGGGGGCCCCCTCCAGCGGGCCTTCCCTTCCCTTTTGTCCTGCTGAGCCTGCAGGGGTGAGGGAAGAGGGGTTGGAACCTTCGGTACCGCGATCGCCTGGTGGGGAGACCAGCCCGGGTGAGGACGGGACCCCACGGCATCGCTCGAGCTCCCGGCCCAGCTGCCTGCAGCCACCCGCCCCGGACTTTTAGGGTTTTTTTGAGCAAAATAAGCGTTTCTCCATTCCCCTCGTGATGATCCGAGCCGGTTCTCAGAACTGGTACCCGGACTCCTGGGGACCCCACAGCAGAACAATGCAGTTGGAGCAGAGATTAAAACAGAAATTAAAGCCAGAAAACTACCAGAAGAATCATGGAAATCTTACTGTCACACATATTAACCTGGTGGAATTTAAGAAATAAAGTAGTTCACGCACTGCTTTAAAATTTGCTGTAAAAAAAAAAAAATCAATTCTCTGGGCCCTGGGAGAAATTCCTGTCCTGCGTCACCTCCTGGGCCCTCCTGCTGGACCCTCGGTCTTCGAGGTGGCCCCGGCGGCCGGCGGGAGGCAGTGTCCCGAGCTGGGGCCCCAGATACCCAGGTCGCGGCTTTGTCAGCCCAGCACCTCGGGGCACCTCACCGGCCACAGGGCGACCTCCGACCCAGGGAGGCCAGGTCTTCGGGGCGCCAGGCCGTGAGTGGGGTCGCCTCCCGCTCCGCTGACCTCCATCTGGGGTCCGTGGCCCAGGGCCTCCGAGAGGCGAGGGCACCGGGGGGCACGGTCGGGGTGTCGGGGTGTGGACCCTGGCCTCAGGCTGGCTGGCGAGCTGCGGCTTCGGGCATTTCCAGAAGGGCCCTCAGACCGGGCTTTCTCATGAGCACGGCCGCGTGGGGCCAGGGTGTCCCTGGGAGGGCAGGGCGGTGAGGCGGGCGCTTCGGTGGGGCCTGCCTGGGTCGCTCGAGGTGCTGGCGTGGCCGGTCCTGCCTGAGGACCCAGAGCTGCCCCCACTCCAGCCCTGCGAGCCTCCTGACGGGGACGGAGGGAGACTGCTGAGCGATAAGGGGGTGCGTGTAGGGACCTCGGGTCCACCCGGAAGGGGGGTGTGTGTGGCAGGCTGCAGCCGGTGAGGGGTGCCTGTGGATGTAGGTGGCAGGCCCGGCCCTGGGTCGGCGGGGGGGGGGTCCCCTGAGCCCCGGGGGCCTCCTCCCACTCCCACCCCTGCTGCACAGTCGTCTGCTCTGTGCTGCGGCCCATTTCTCTCTACTTCAGCCGCCTGTTCCGATGAAGAGATGCCCCCTCGCCCCCCGCCTCGAGGCCCAACAGCCGGCCCGTGGTGGGCGGGAAGGCACTAAACACGGGTGGGCCGTTTGCAAAGCCCAGAGCAGCTGCGTGAAGTAGGGAGATGGCTCCACGTCCAGGGCTCCCGGGAAGGAAACCCGGCGGAGGCCAACACAGCCGGGCGAGGCCTGGGGCGGGAGGCTCCCGTCGTGCCCTCTGTTCAGGGCACAGGGATGGAGTCAGCGGGACACACTTGGACCTGGACCTACGTGTGCGTCCCGTGCCCCCTGCTTACGTGACAGTCACACGTGCCACCCTACCTTCCCCGGACCGGGAAGTGCCGGAGGCCTAGGGCCCAGACCTCGGTGCGTGTGTCCTCGTTTCAGGGCCAAAGATAAGACAAGGGTCTTCCAAGGTGACACAGCCCAGATTAGCCGTCCCTCACCTAACAAGCACCGTGATGCTCTTGAAGGTGGTCGCAGCTGTGCGGCCCGGTGGCCCAGGGACGAGCCGCACAAGGGTCAGCACCTGCCGCAGGCCTGGGCTCCGGGGAGGGAAGGCTGCCGGTTCTGAGCCAATGGGGGAGGGGGGGAGCCGGCGGCAGGGTGGGGCATGTGGCCTGGAGAGGCCACGGGAGTCACGTCTAGCACCTGCAAGGCCACCGGGGAGGAGGAGTCCAGGCCTGGGTGCGCCGGGCGTAGGCCTTGGCCCGACCCGGTCCATCCCACCACTTGGCTCTGGGAAGCATCGTTGGCTCCGTATGAAAGGACGCCCGAGCGCTCTACCTTCTCCTCTCGGGCTCGAACTCGGCCTCCAGCTGAGCGTGAGCGGAGGCTGGTCCCGAGCCAGGCCGCACGCCCGGGGCCCCGCGGCCCCGCAGACCTCGCCGAGCACGCACGTCGGAAGGACGAGGTCGGAGGGTCCGTGCTCTCACCCCACAGAGAAGCGACCCGACCCAGAGAGGAGCCCGGACCCAGCCCGACCCGCAGCGGCGGTGCCGGCTGCCCTGTCACTGGGCCGCGTGACCGCCGGGAGCCGACGCAAGGAGCGCGCACCCGGGCCCCGCCGAGGGCCAGACCCGCACCGGGGGAGCTCCGTGGGCGCGTGTCCGCCCTCAGCTGCCCAGACGCCACCGTCCGGGTGAGTGAGAGTTTCTGAGAACAAATTCTAGGCCAAAGATTCTGACTCCTCGGAGGGCTCTCAGGGCCGAAGCTCCGTTTCTCTCTCCTTCCTTTGATCTGCTTCACCTGGTCTCCATG